ATATATATATATATATATATATACTTTTTCTTTCCTCACAAACCCATTACAGCACTTTCGTGTCTTATGGTCATGGATACATGCCCAAAAAAAAAATCATAAATGATCTTTATTGTTCCTTTATTGTGGTATTGATCATAGTTCTTACATATATACATCAACATTCATTCCAATTTTAGCATCAAGACATTTTGTTATTAAATAGTCACTATTACTTACCACTCTCTTATAATATGATCATATGTATGACAAGCTCATTGAACAGTTACAAGCATTACCAAGTTGTCTCATTGTCATTGTGTTATGGCCTACATTGCATGCAGAAGCTATTACCGTTGCACACAAGATAATTGTCGAGTGAAGAAACGCGTGGAACGCTTAGCCGAGGATCCAAGGATGGTGATAACCACATATGAAGGGAGACATGCTCACTCTCCATCAAGTGATCTTGAAGACTCTCAAACCCTATCTCAACTTGGCAACTTCTTATGGTAGACTACGGCAACATAGTATTTATATATATGAAATGTATATTGTATATTTGATTGAGGGTGTGCTTTGTAGAGATGAAAACTGAATAAGTATAGAGGAAGGAGTAAAATGTGTTTATAAAATGCATGATCTTCTCCATCCACAACTCACGCGTTTTCACCACTTCCAAGCACACCATTAAGAGTGTCGTTGATTTTTCTAGTTTTATATATAGCTTGTGTCTTGATGTACTGATTATTAAAACTGATTAAGATACTAGTGACATTTGTACTTTGCCCTACTTTTTTTGCTCTTTATTCTTCAATTCCCGCGCCTCATCCTCTTCTCTCTCTACACTTTATCATTTTTGTTATACTATATCATTGTCAGAAATATCTTCCACTATATATTAAGACTAATATCTTTTAAAGCTCTGAAAGTACTCATGGATTATTCATTTCTAATCAGATTTTTTTTAATTTAAACACGAGTCAGTGTTTAAATAGTAGCCACTCAAGGTGACCACTAAACTGATTGAGAAAAAAAATTCATGAAAAGTGATTAATTAGATTTCTGGATAGAAATTAATTATTAATAAAGTTAATGGATACTTCCTATTAATAATAGTTAATTATTTAATTAAAAGACTAATATCCATTCAAGGAATTCGAGTGTACTACCATTGATAGCCTTTGTGTAAACAACTAAACATTTTGTAACAGAAATTGAATGCTAGTACAATTATTTTGAATTTACACTATCAGTAATGCATTATGTAATAATATTATATCAATTTTTTATTATAATATTATTATGTTACTACTTACTAGTATATATATATAAGATCGATCCGCAGATCAATAAACCAAATGTAACAAAACCCAGACCAGCAAGCATAACAAGCAGCAATATACAAGCTTACAAAGAGAGAGCTACTCGTATGAAGCTAAGCACGTACATGTATATAAATGAGTATTGGAGCATTAATTGACATGCAGATACACAAGTCATTCACAATATGAGGTACCCCGGATTGGTGGATATTAACTTTCAAAAAATCTAGAAATTAAAAATTCCTCCAAAGGCGGTCACATTGATGTGGAGATTAATACATAATGCCTTGCCCACTATTGATAATCTGCAAAGAAGAGGTCTAGGATTAGATAGTGATGACAGTCATTGTGTACTATGTAATGAACACCCAAAGACAGCATCCCATTTGTTTCTTTCTTGTAAGGTAGCAGATCATGTATGGAAATACT